ATTTGTAGGTCCAACAGGTAAGTAGGACACGAAGTGGACAACCCCCAAACAATGGTGTTTGGTTGTCCACGAGGGGACTACTTACCTGTTGGACCGTCCCGCCCGCCTTTCCCCACAGTGGGCTCCTCCTTTGGTGTGATTCACTCGCGCTAAAGAAAGAGGACGATAATGGCGGGGGCTCTGACTATTGTGGGCGCTGGCGCAGGAGGGCGCTGTGGCACGCTATAGCAAATCTTTACTTTAGCGGTTAATTTACATAGTTAAGGAAATATGCATTTGTAGGTCCAACAGGTAAGTAGTCCCCTCGTGGACAACCAAACACCATTGTTTGGGGGTTTTCACTTGCCCACATGTTTTAATAGTAACTTTCAATCAAATCACCATAAGCATTTTTGATAACATTTTTGATAATAAATTATGCAATATGAATACAATCGGCAATTATCTTAATCATGTACATAATATTGCATGTAGTTCCTTTTTAAGTGATGTCAATGTTTCTTTAATTGTCCATGCTTTAACATAGAGCAAGGCTTTAATTAACAGGAATCAAATAGGGGGAGAAGTTATAATCAAAATTTATGCAGTGTGCTTCGTTCCGAACTTAAGGCTTTAGGTGTTCTATTTCCGACATGTTTTGATAAAACACGAACGAAAAAAGCGTTATCTTGAGGAACAAGAAAACATTGCACACAGTCGTGGTATTAATGGGAGTTTACCAAGTTAGTAACTGAACTGTTTTAACTTGTTTGAAAATGAGTGAGAAGGCCAGTATTTTCAAAAAAAACATCTCTCGCGCGCGCCATGCATTTCTAGCGAAGAATGGTGCAATCAGCGTGCCTAGCCAAGAAGCGCTGCGGGCGGGCGACCCACGAACTTACGCTGGTCACGTCAATCCATAACGTTTTCCGGAGGACGGTCCACTTTACATCACTAGTTTTTACATTCAAAATAGGCCCCTCGAATCTCATATTGTCCTCATCTTTTCGGTATATTCGTTTGATAGTGTTCAAGAAATCATCCAAGAATCCGTTCGGGCACAAGTTTTGGCAGTGAAACTGTCATGAAAGTTTTCTCCTCACCACGTTGTATGATACGAATACGATGTTAACGTACGTACGTCCGTACCGTGTGGACTGCAGACGAAGTAAATCACGTGCGCTGCATGTGTGCACAATGTGTAATGGCAAATACACGTTGATTCGCCTCATGTTAGTCGTTGGGATTTCAATGCACAGCGCACTGCGAATATACAAGGAGTGATACGAATTCGAACTACCGATGTTTTTATTTTGGTCGGCGTGGCAAAAGTATTCATGTGTTGTATCACCCTTAACTTTTTATTTTGATTGATTAAAAAATACTGTAGGGAAAACTTTGTTAGTTTTATTTTTTTTAAACAGTTTTTTGACTCGACTGTCGGACTACTGAGAGGAGGGTTTTGACTCGCCCGCCGCTGTTTTCACTCGCATTTGGCGAGCGGGCGACCGCTAAGGAAAAACCCTGGTTTTATACACTACCGCCCTCTGGCGACCTACCCATGATACCCCGCGGCACGCATGCCCCATGAGCGTTCTCTTTTCTCTTAGCGGCAGGTCGGGTATGACGTGTAAAAATACGCTCTGTATTTTCGTCGTATTTTGATACCCTTTTGCGCTTTCTAAGAGAAGTTTTTGATTAGTAGAGTATAGTTTCGTCTGATTGAGTGATTATGAAGCGTTTGGGGAGAACCGATTTGTCACATACCGGGGGAATTCCTCTCCCACGGGACAGACCGAGTTCTCGGGGGACTCTGCTGGTAACGCTCCGTCGTTGCCGAGGCCGAAGTCCCTCGTCCAGCACCCTCAGCCACTGCCGGCTGGGGGCGTTGGCAGTTCCGCTGACCAGTTAAAGGGACCTCGGTCTCCTTCTCCGGTCAGTTCGGGTGGAACACTCAAACAAAAGGTACGCTCCGGCAAGGTTCATCCAAAACATATCTCCTAGACCCCTGCCCTCCCCCGAGCACGGGGCAGCCCGACGGGACTAGCCGCCACGCTCCGGTGGGCTCTTTTCACCCGTGCCCTCCCGACACAGTGCCGAGTACCACTGGTTGCCAGGACGGGCTATTACACGGGCTATCGGCTATGTCTGCAGGCCGCCAGGCGGGCCCTATTGTTTCCCCCCCCCCCCCCCCCCCCCCCGGAAATGACGAGCTACGCCCCACAACAACCGGTCGTTGGTCTCGCCTCACAATCTTCAGTCACCGGTCACGGTTGGGTGGCCCGTGAACAACGGGACATACCGCACACAGTAAGCCGTGCTCCGGAGTCCCTTCCTGCGGTGAATGCTCCACAGTCATCGTTCATTGGTCACGGTTGGGTGGCCCAAGCACAACGAGATATACCAAGTGTGGTTGATGGTACATCGGAGGCCCGGCCCGCACTGAACACCTCACGTGCGTCGGCCGTGGGTCACGGTCGGGTGGGCCAGAGACAGCGGGACCAGCCGCACACTGTTAGCCGTGCGCGTTCTGTACAATTGGTTCTCATCAGCCATCTCATCATGTCAAAAGAGAAGAGTAAATTTCATGACAACCTACCAGTGTTGGAGGTCTCGAGGCCGGCCTCGGCCTCGAGGCCGATTTTCATGGCCTCGGAGGTGCAAGGCCTCGGCCTTGGCCTCGGCCTCGGAGCCTTCCGGCCTCGGCGAATCGGTCGAGGCCGGCTCGAGGCCGCCCATTTTGATGTGTTTTCAATTCTAATTAATTTTAATTTTTTTACCGTATCAAACCCTCAAGATTCTGCCGCAGTGGGTTCCGTGAAACGAACGCATATACAATGCACGCACGAATGAACTGGAAATGGTTGCATTGAACGTTTTCACGTATGTAGCATCTTCGCCTAGCCTGCGCTTCAGCTTTCCACGTGCGTGCAAGCGTTATAACTGTTACCGCGTGCCAGACTACATAAGTCTAGCACCAAGCCCATTGGCGTACAATAACATGTGGTAGTAGACTAGTCTGGTTGCAGTGTTGTACACAATTTCCTCGTTTCGCCTCTATACAACGACCTTTAAAAATGATTTGCGGCAAGGTGCGGCAAGCTTAATCATTTCTTTTTATAGGCCACTGTTTCAGTAAAAGTCTGAACTTTCTGGGTACGATCGAGTGTACTAGTCCGTACCATTTTTTTTTCATAAAGATATGATAAATACAATTACGATTTATCAAGTAGACTTTATTTGTACAGGGCGATTTAAATGAAAGTTCCAGCTCACACGGTAATGTTTGGCGCAAATGGTCGATATGGAAAGCGCGATTTCAGAATTTGTTTTTCCAACCAAATGAATGCAAAGTTCTGAATGAATGTTTTAATAATAGGAGTCAGTATTCCTCGTGGTACCAGGATTTTTTTTGGGTATTTTTAGAGCCATGTTGATACTTATAACATGTATAAGCATGGTTGAAATTGACTAATTTTGCGTGATTACAGACATACGGCAAAAACCTCTGGACTCCCTACCTCTTGCCATGATCTTAAAATACTTCGAAGCCAAGTTGGATTCAAATCGGATGATCCGAGAATTCATGGTCATTTTGATGAACTGAGTGATATCATGCACGCATGTTCCGTGTTGCCGTGTTGTTTGGAGCGGGATTGGCCATTGACAGACTTTGTCTGGTACCACGGTATTAACAGTGATAATGCGTGGACACTTATCCCGTTGTGTGGAGCGGGATTGGAACTATGCTTTGCCCGTGCGTAATGGTGGGCCGTCTGGCATTGTCTGGTCGCATCGCGGTGTTTGCTCGGCGCGCGCCTGGACAGTGCGAAGGTCGGGGGGGGGGGGATGGAAATTTTTGGTTATGAGTGGTAAAAACCTGATTCAAAAATCAAGTTGTTGTTTATTTAATGGGGATTCCTATGATATTAAGCATATTGATAGGTTATGAAAATAAGATTTATAAAACATGCTAAAAGTAAATGATGTAAATCTTACAGAATAGAAACTCAATATTTGGCCATTTAAATTGTTGTATCTCCAAAGGGTAAATTCCTTTCTTTAAAAAATAAAATTCGCCGGACTCCCTACAAGAGAAAACCCATTGCAAGCTGTACATTTGTAAGCCAGGCACTCCAAAACTCAGTGAATTCAACTAAAAAGATGTTGAAACTCCAACATAATCTTATCCTTGTGATTTATATTTTATTACGTGTTTTGATAGCTGGCCTCGGCCTCGGCCTTGGCCTCGGAGGTGGTGGCCTCGGCCTTGGCCTTGGCCTCGCGGTTGTGGCCTCGGCCTCGGCCCTGGCCTCGGAGGTTGTGGCCTCGGCCTTGGCCTCGGAGGTTGTGGCCTCGACTACAACACTGACTTTGATGTCTGCTCCCTAAGGAGGGATTTATACTAAGGACTGTCGGAGCCCTCTGTGCCTCCGGATGTCTTTGTTTCGGGCATCAAATCATTCTTGTCCAGACAGAGAATTTTTGATGCCAATCATGACTTTAAGGTCGTACATTAGCTGCACTGGGACGCTTTGAATCGGTCACTTGCAGTTACAAATGTATTTGTCATGACAACCCTACCATACAAGCAGGCTTCTCGCGACATGTTTTTTTCATGACGACCCTGCCATACAGGCAGGCCTTTCATGACATGTATTTATCATGGTGACCCCACCATACCTGCAGGCCTTTCATGACGAGATTGCCTGAAGGTTGGCTACGGTCATCCATGAAACCACGGACGTATCAACGGCAGAATCCGTGGGATTGGTCCGCATGTGCAAAATAAAAGGCAGAGCATGGGAGATCAGTGTTGAGGGCGACTGACTGAGCCTCATCATGTTCTCAAGACATTTTCAGACCGGAGACCTCCCCAGCATTGGTGTCTCCTAACTCTGATTCTTTATTGAGCTCTGTACATGTACATGTGCATATAATAGTGTCTATACATGTATGTACCATGTTATGATGTTTTGCCTTCCATGATAATTTTTTTTGTGCCCCACTCTTATGTGTAGGTATCGTCTCTGTTGGCATGTTGGACCACGTCTCTGTTGGCATGTTGAGGCTACCATTATGACTAATGTCTTTATCATGCCGACCTTTTTGGGCTGCCTTGTCCACCCACATGTGGAGCGACGGGCCCATCCAGGGTTTACGCGCATTGTTTACGTGCCCCTGTGAAAGGACAATAGCATCTCGCATGACCCACCGCCTTGACGGTGCTAGTCTATGCATAAGTAGTATTGCTCTACAGGTAAGTAGAGTGAAGTAGACTCCCCCCCCCCCCCACAGAAGTGTGGTTGGGGTCTATGAACGAATACTTACCTTTAGAGCATCCCTCCCCCCTACCCCACTCTTCTCGATGCCTTGAGTACATTCTGTATTCCGACTTAGCGCTTGAGAAAAGAGGACGCTCACGAGGCACGCATGCCGCGGGGTATCATAATAAAATCATAATAAAGACAGGGCGCCAGAGGGCGCTATTGTATATAACTCTTAGCAGAAAATACCTGCCGGTAGGGGGAATATGCATAAGTAGTATTGCTCTACAGGTAAGTATTCGTTCGTAGACCCCAACCACACTTCTGTGGGGGGGGGGGGGAATTTATTATTAAATACAATTAATTAAACCCTTCAATGTCTGAGCTAATTCTGTCTTTCTTGGGATGCTAAATAATTATAACTTGCATAGATAATTTTGGCTGTTCTAAATAATGATAAAGGGTATTTTAACTTCTTAATTCTAATACAAATTACTCGCGCACAGAGCTGCGTTAGGACGCCATCTCTTGGTTGCTATGTGTACATAACTTACGAACCAAATAAATAATTCTTTTACGCGCGCAGCGGGAAGTATAAAAACGCTGTGCGTGCCGCCCTCAATCAGTTGCCGCCAGCTAAGTCGCATCAATCGTTATAGGTAAGAAACTTTATTATTATTTTATTTGAGCTAAATTGAAGTCTCCCAAGTGCATTTTTGTAGTTTATTCCCACTGATTGATTCATAGACAACAATTGACTCCATACCACCAGTAATTATCATTTATTCGTTGTTGTCTGTATTGACTTTTAAGACCGATAATAAGAACTCCGGTTGCATTGTATTTTAATAAATTGTTTTGAACATATTTATTTGTGTTGCTTATTTTTCTTGAATAATTAAAGTAAAGTCATGAGTTGCCGCAACTTAAGTCACATCAATCGTTATAGTTCAAAGGGGTCAAGGCGGCAACTCACTCAACTCAACACTCCAGTGACTCTGGGCAGTTATAATAATAATAATAATAATAATTTGGGAGGCTAATCATCCTTACTCGCAGCTGGGATGCTGAATTGCGAAGGACGCGGCTACAACGTGGTCGGGCCGCTGGCACGTAAAGGCGCCTCTGGCTGCCGGCCACATCGACCCATATAAGACTACGGAGCACAGCCTGAGATCGAAAGTGTTTGATTTTTCCGGAGGGAGGAAAACCGGAGGGCCCGGAGAAAAACCCTCGTGGCACAGGAGAGAACCAACGCACAACTCTACTCACATGCGATCCGCGGCCAGGATTCGAACCGTGTTCACCTTGGTGAGAGGCGAGCGCTTTACGCACAAGCCACCCGTGCCACCCGAATAAATGTTGTACCTGGCAGAGTAGGCTACCCTATACCAAGAGGGTGTCGGCAGTGAACCACAAGTGAGCTGAAAGAGTAGAAGTTGTTGTAGTATTATTGATTTATATTGGACGTATTTATTTAATGTTAAAATAAAGAAGTTGAAGGTTCACTGCAATATTGGCTGTTTAATCGTCACTTCCCTTCGCCGTCCTGACTCGGTATTTAAGTACAGCTACCTGGTTGTATATTTCAACCGAACGAATCTCGGGATTAATATAAATTTATTGTCGCAGCCCATGCAGAAGAGTGCTCTCTACCTAGACCGAGAGACACTATTGGCTGCACGCGCGACACTAGGGAGGTTTGCGCTGGCTCAAAAGGTGAACCTTATGCTATCAAGACTGCTTTGGGATGGACCCTAAATGGTCCAGTAGGGCACCAGAAAAAAAAAGTCTCCATCCTCCTTCTTTGTCAAGCCAGACGTGGATCTTCAACAATAAGTTGAAGGATTTTGGAGGATTGACGACGTGCAAAACGTGGGCAGTGAAAATGAGATGATGTCTTGTCAGCCAAAAAAAGGTTCTTTCGATTTAGGAGAACTCACTGCTCCATGACGGAGTTAACTACACCATGGAGATTCCATTCAAGGAACGACCACCACATTTGCCCAATTGACAGGTTGATGGCAGAACACCGACTTAAATTGTTGGGTAAGCGTCTCTCCAAGGACTCCTCACTCAAGGAGAAGTACACCGGAGGCATCTATGATCTCCTTCAGAAGGGATATGCAGAGCCAGTTCGTGCAGGGGACATTGAGTGACGAGATGGCATTTGTCTGGTACCTCCCACATCATCCTATGATCAACCCGCGTAAACCAGACAAGGTTCGCATTGTATATAACTGAGTAGCCCGGTACCAAGGTACCTCACTTAATGATACCGTCTATCGAGGACCTGACCTAACGAACACGATGATGGGAGTTCTTCTGCATTTCCGACAAGAACACATAGCTCTCATGGCCGACATTGAAGGCATTTTTTAGCAGGTTCGTGTGTCCATGGCTGACCAAGATCTCCTTTGTTTCCTTTGGTGGAAGGGAGACGATATGGAGTCCCAACCAATGATTTACCGGATGACAGCTCACTTGTTCGGAGGAGTTTGGAGTCCAACTTCACCTTGAAGTGTGTAACACAAGATTACCATGCACTGTACGGCACCGCCACCATTAAGACCATAGATCCTAACTTCTATGTTGACGACTGCTGCAAATCCGTTTCTTTCGAAAATTGAAGCCACTCAACTAGTCTGTCAGTTACGCGAGTTGATAGCCCGTGGAGGATCCCATCTTACCAAGTGGGTAAGTAACTCTTGCACTGTGTTGAAGTCACTACCCCATGCTGAGTGTGCAAAGGCTGTCACGTCCATGGACCTACATAAGGAACTACTTCCTTCAAAGAGAGCTTTGGGAGTACTTTGAAAAATCGAGACAGACACCTTTGGATTTGATACCAACCTGAAGGAGAAACCAGATAAGAAAATCTTATCAGTGGCAATAACACCCTCCTTGATGCCGAATCTCTCCTCCATAAAGTAGAAACTTGCTGTAAGTTCATTGGTCTCTCTCTCAATGCAAAGAAGACTAAGTACACGGTCATCAACCCATCTACCTTTGACAACATCACTGCCCTGGATGGCGGTAAGCTCAATAAAGTTGATGACTTCAAGTATCTGGGCTCTTACACCAACACAGCTCATGACATCGAGTGTAGAAAAGCTCAAGCTTGGTCTGCTCTGTTCTCGCTGACAAAAGTTTGGCGATCATCGATCTCCAAGACCACCAAACTTAAGATCTTTAAGGCATCAGTAGAATCCATTCCCCTTTATGGTTGCGAGTCCTGGACACTGACCAAACAGATCTCTACATCTATCTCCACAATCATCAGACAGAGTCGCCTTCAGCTAGCCAGTCACATTTACCGACATAATGAGCCAACTAGTCGAGTTCTTCTCTGGAATCCTGATGCCACTCATCGAAGAGGTTGTCCCAACATGACCCTGAAAACATCCATCTAGCTAGAAACTGGGCTGAGCGGTCCATCTCTTTCCAACACTATGCTTGACAGGGACAGTTGGGCCCAACTCATCAAGTCATCATGAAAATGAATGAATGAAGAAGAAGAAGCCCCGTCAAATTAAAATCTTCAATAATCGATATATCGGAAATTCAATATCGAGAATATTTAATATATTGATTGTCCCATGAATGCAGGGTTTGACCGTAACTTCTTTTTTTTCACTAGCCAGCTGGGCTACTGAAACAGACTCTTAACTAGCCCGCGGATATTTACATTAGCCCGCAAGTTTTTCTTTTATAGAGTTTGTCAAATGAACAACAATGTGCATAAATGTAAAAAGTGTACCATGAGGCAATCTTGTCAGTGTTAACAAACAAATCTAATAATTTAACGTAAACATTTCATAAAAATAGACAGAAAGTAATACAGGTTTGCTCTCTGAATTTAATGATTTATTTCTTCCTGTCCTTTCATCTTTTGCCATAGCCTAATAATTTTTGACGAGCTAGCCGGGCTACTTTAGGAATAGTTTGACTAGCCCCGCTGCTGTATTGATAAGCATTTGGCTAGTGGGCTACCACTTAAGTCGAACCCTGTGAATGAGTTAAGTCCATCAAAGAAAAAAATAATAACCAAAAACAAATCGATATCAAGTCAGCCTCGCACCTGTTATTAATTTTGGCGGTCCCTGTAACTTTGATAATGTATGGAGGACAAAAACGATTCTTTGAAATATTAAGTCATGAACCCCAAACACAACGGGTGGTGTCGGCCTTAGGTGACCCTCCGACCCTTAACTTGCATTAATACAGTGCACTTTCTAGTCACAGAGTTGTAGGAAAGAAAGTCACTTTAAGCACCGAGATTTAAAAGACAAATACAAATATACCATAATCAGTGGCTTTGTATCATTTCAATTAACTTATTGTGAGGTACATTAGTAACAAAAATGCTAAGGATCATTACACAGTGGACAAAAGCACCATTTTTTCACCAAAGCATCTCCATGGTATACCTTTTCGAAAAAAAGACGGACGCAAAAAATTGGATGATGGAAAGGGCATGTATGACGTCATTATGACATCATCAGCTAATTATTACATGAAAAAATATACATTAATAATAATCTTCAGAACTGCAAGCATCTCAACAACAAATTTGGTATCAAATTATAGGGGACAACAAGATCTTTCATTTGAGTGGTATGTCATTGGGATGGAATATAGTTGAGGGTGATTTTGTGGGTCAAAAAACCTTTTTGGTCAAAATACCTTTTTTTCGGCTAAAATCATGGATTTTGGGTAGTCACTTTGACACCTTGTTTTAACATGCAAACAGTATGTGGTATTGTGAGATGTTGTTTTTAAGTCAGAGAGAAAGGCTCAAATTCTATGCCAAAAGAGTTTTCGTAATTGATTATTAGTATCTTAAATGTTTAAACTTGTTCCAAAGATAAGCGGAAAAGTGAGGTACCTTAATAGTGATAAAATCGTGACACGGGTGGACAAAAGCACCATTTTCA